CTGTGTCTTACCTAAATGACACAAAACCCATTTCTATAAAATCATTAATTTTATTACCAACTCTTTCTACCCTGAATTTGCCCATCGGTTTGCAAAAGCTTAGAACCAATCTACATTTTCTGGAAAGATATCTCCAAGTGATAATTAATGAAGAATTGTAAGTCACAAATCAGCTTACATTTAGTGTACCTTTATTATTTATAAGTAAAACTCGTATAAAATCGAAAGGAAACAATCAAATGACATTTCTGAATAGATTACTGACTCAGTGTCATTATTGTTCGCTAAAAGGCTCACCAGTTAGGAATGGAATCGGAACAAGATAATACATTGTATAGAAGCGCGATCATACGAAGGCCACACAATCTTGGTCATTATGCCCTCGAAGATAATACATACTTTATACTAGTTTTGTTGTAAGGAAATAAACGAATAGGGTAGTTAAAGCACCGTCCACCCGAACCAAGAACAAAAGTAATGAAGACACATCACGAGGGGTAAAGCCAATCCTAAGGGCTTCATTAGAGAATAGACACAGTTTACTGACATGAAGAAGAGAAAACACAACTTAGATAGGAAGCCTCTTTCCTTTGAATTTGTGTTCAAAGGAAATTCAAATTTAATTCTAAAGCAAGTATCTAAGAAAGTCAATATCAAACCGAGAAGGAAAATATGTGCTTCCATTAAGCAATCCACATATTATTTGGATTGGGATAAAACCAAAATAGTTTATATATTCCAGTATTTTATTAATGCTGAAATAAGTAATTATAGTGCAATCACGTAATTATACAAAATAGATGATATAACCAACCTGGGCTCTCTTTTTGGGTCTGATGATTCATTTTAAGTTGTTCTATCTCTGGATCTACTTGTTTTTTTGGGGAGACAATTTTGTCGTTTCCTTCGATTTTATCCATCTCTATAATTGTATGACGACGAGGCGCTACTTTCGGAACAATTTGCTTTTCTAAATCATCCATAGTCTCCATACTGGGTGTAACCATTTTCTGCTGAGGCTGCGATAACTTACCTTCTTCCTGAATCGAGTGGATAGCATGTGAAGAGTCGAGAGCCTCCTCTTTATGCAGGACAAGGGATTTCGGTGATTGTTCTTAAAAATAAAAGCAAGCATGGATAAAGTTAAACTGCTCTAGTATGTAAACTATAAACAGTGTGTACTCAAAAAATATTTTCATCATTAATATATTTAACCCAATAATAAACCTCCAACAAGTATTCATAATTTGACTTCGTTTAAATTTTTCGCAACTTTGTCGGTATGAAAATATTGTAAATAACGTTCTAAATCAAACATTTCTACATTGAACCTAATAAAAACAAGTAGAACCACAACACTTGTGGGTTGAAACACAAGAAAATAGAAGATTGGGAATCATAGACTTGGCACTATGGATAGAAGCACAATAGATGAGGCGGAGGCTGTAGCTAGTTGTCTAACAGTAGACGTGTTTGATCATAGACTTGGTGCATGAGGCAAAGGCTTGACCATGAGAATTTCTCAGAGGCAGAGTGTGGGAAATAACGTCTCGAGTAGCACAGATAGGGTGGCAGGGGTCAAGTGAAATACGTGAACCAAGGAGATAGCAGACGGATCTTAAGGGGCAAAAAGGAGACTCTGATAAGACCTGTGCGAGGAGAACTGCGGAATAATATAGCAGATTGATAAACATTTTCAGCACGAGGGTGAAGGGGTGAGAAAACCAGGGCGGAGTGTGGAGAGTTCTCATGAAATCTGCTCAAAAGAGCACACCATACTACATTTAAATAAGCAAGTAAAAATTGTGATAGTGAAGTAGTGATACGAGGATATAGGATTGGTGATTAGTGCAGGGGGAAGGAGAGGTACCACGATTGTTTAGCAGACAATTGATTAAAGGGTCAGCTGCACTTGTCTCTTTGACGAGTTCTAGTGTGGTGCTAGGACTGGCAATGCTCAATGAAGATGCCAGCGAAGCGCCTATGAGTGTACCACGTCCATGGTCCGACTCTGAAAATAATCATACATACTATGGGCTCTGGACTAGGTGCATTCCTCTAACTGTTCCTATCAATATGACCAAGTTGAGAAAACAAGGTCAAACAACTTATATCTAACGAAAGGAGACTGCGACGATACGAAAGGCCACAACTCCTTGGTCTTTATACCTTCTGTCATAGTTGTCATGACACTTTGACCATCAGACCATTGACTTGTTACATTCATATACGTCTCATCAGAACCTTTAGTGAGAGGGTCAGGTCACTTTGACGAGCTAACATGCTGCTAAGGATGGTGTCTGCCACTTACGATGCCAAGAACAATAACAGAGAACCTTCTAGGAATGTGTCAAGTCACGGCCCGATACTATGGCAGAGAACGCACGAGTGGGTGAGTCCTATAAGAAGGCTGTGACCAGATCTAAGGCCTTACAATCTTGGTGTTCACATTTTAAAACTCCAGAGAGCTTCTCGTTGTTAAATGAAGGCCAAGAATATTCGCTTAAAGTTTGAATGTCTGGTGGAGGATCTTGATAGGATAAATCGAGGCAAATACTTCACCGTCATGGTTTTATTTTCGAGAAGTGTTGGATAAATGGATGGAAAGTCACAATGTATTTAAAGTTTAATAACACTTTGGGATATCCGAGACCACCACCAGGATTTTCAAGGGAAAGATATTACCTACGATAAAATTCTATCCGGTGGGCATAAACTGGGGCAATAAGGACGTGTCCCTGGATAAGGTGAATCCTAAAGAAGCCTAGGCATCATTACTATTAGATGTAAATCTAGTTTTAGCACACAGACGGTAAGGTAAATTGAAAAAATTGAAAAATTCTTAGTGCTTTTTAGGAAAAATGTACTTAATTGAGCATCCTTTGAAAAATAAGTCCCTAAAATACAGATCAGACGATCGTAGATTTTCACATGTAAAATGGATTTTCCAGGAATTTTTGCACCAAATCATTATTTTAAAATTTTAGTGAATCTATGTTGTCATAATAACTATTTAAGATTTTGTGCCTGCATGCTTAGCAAACCAAGCATATCAGGGCTGCTGTAAAGTTGCAGCAAAATATGCATTGATTCAAGCGTTAAAAACGGCCTGGTTGTATTCCACAAGATTAAGAAAATCAAAGTCTACATCATGGCTATATTATGCACGCCATAGTGAAGTATAAAACGTGATAATACATTTACTATATTATTTATTTACATTAAATCAGTTCTCTTATGGAAGATAAGCAGTGCTTAAAAGGCGATGCTAAATAATTTCTTACCTTGATGATTAGGTAGCGAGTTGTCTTTCAGAAGAGCTTTGCTTGCAAGAGACTCAATTTTTGGTTCGCTTAATGGCTGAACATCCGACTTCTTCTGGATATGAGGTAATTGGATTGCCTAAAATGAAGCGGAAGTATGAATATATATTAATTTGCTTGTTTATCTCTAGTTGCTTACCCCAAGAGTCTTAGAAGCTGTAGCATTGCCACAGTTTAAGCTAAATCCAGGCTAAGTAAACCATAGAAGAGAATAGATTTGAATGATTCTCCATGTTAAAGAGGGAAACTGAATTGCTTCTTCGCTAATTTCAACTGGGCACATTTAAATATGGAAAGTGAACAAAGAGATACCTTATAATAAACAATTCTATTTCTAATTTTCGTATATGAGTAGAGTTTCGAAACTACCAGTGATTTCAGTTATATGAGATCTATTCACCCTATGTCGTTTAAGGTGATGAATGACTAGTAATATAATTTTTCCATAATGATATGAGTAGAGCTGACGTTTCCATTAAATTTCGCATAGCCTTGCTTTCCCAAAAGGTGTTCACATCCAGGGATCGATACTTCAAACTTACTCTATATGATTACAGATAAGTGAGGTTACTTCATGAACCGAAAGTGTGTTCTGTGGCAGCTATTTCTCTACACAACTAAACTAGCAGACGATCCTCTGATGTTGACCTATATATGGGCTTTTCCTATCGTCTATTGCGTGTATCTAAGCTTAGCACACGTTTATCGGTGCTGCAGGATGGTGACCTTCCCTCCGCGGCAATCCTCCTTCGGTTTCCGGTGAGACCACTTCACGAATTACTTCAAACCAACTTTCTCTCGAAATGGAATGTCCTGGCACAATATATCATCAAAGAAGTCTTCGAAACGCAGTTCTCTTCATATTTTCGAAGTACGTATGATATCTATTCTTTTCAGAATTCGTCATTATATATACCAAAACGAATAAATTGTTGGCCA